TAGAACAGTCTGACCTCTACTTTCTAACAAGCTGGTTTTTAATATTTGAACCCCCTCCCCAATCTATTGGATTGACAACTTTGTCCCTTAATACCCAGCAAGACACACTTGCTCAGAAAAAAAGAGACCACTCCCTGGTCCTTGTCCAAGGCGGAATGTTCCCAATGCTGCCAGTAACAGCAAGTGTGGGTTACTTTGGTGTTTGTCCCTATGTGGACATTCCAGAATTGACTGCATAAATGGTTTATCCTTCGGAAACATTTCTGGTATCTTCCCCAACTTGAAATAAACACAAATATTTGTGTTTAAAAGCTCACTTTCTTCACCTTCTGTTTCAAAGTTGTCACAATAAATTCCTTTTAGGGGTACACACCAGGAATAACTCTTTAAGAAGAATCCTTGCATGTCCCTAGTTCCCAGGCTCACTCCTTCCACTCAATCATCAAGCACTTATTAACCACCCACTGTGTACCAGATATTGTACTAGGTGCTGGGAATACAAAGGTTAAAATCACATTGTCTTTGCTCTCACTTTGTGTTAACTTATTAGAAGTGTTTACAGTGTGGTATATTGGGTTCATTTCATTTTCTACTTTTGGGAAACATACAATAAAATATTTTCTTGCCTTGTAAAAAACAAAACAAAACAAAACACAACTCACCTTCTTGAATATAACAGTTTGGAAAAGTATACCTTCACTGCTCCACAGGCTATGCTCCTGACTCTCTGGGCTTCTCACCCTGAAAGATGCCTCCCCTTCTCTGGTCTACTCAAGACCTACTAGTTAGTGTCTGTGGCCTATGCTCTCAATCCCTTTCTCAGCCAAAAAACCCGTCACCGCTGTGGTCTGTCCTCTGATTGGTGAGTGCCTCCTGAAAAGGAGGTGCCCAGGCCAGAGCCGGGCTCCCTCTTCACGCTTCTCCCAGCTCCACTCCTGGCTCCCTAGATGTCTCTTCCCCACCGTGCCGGCAGATCTCCTTCTCCACCCCTTTCCAGGTCCCTTTTGGGTATTATCTTTCTCTGTTAGAATGTAAGCTCCTTGAGGGCAGGGATTGTCTTTCATTTTACTCCAGTTTTTATTCCCAGAACTTAGTACAGTGCCTGTGCTAAGACTCAGACACAGAGCTCGTGCTTAATAAACGTTTGTTGACTTGGAAAAGTGGGTTTTATTTCCCCCTCTCACCACTGCCAGTCCAGGAACATTTCAAACATATTTCTTTTCCATGACTTTCAGATTTTGAGCTGGTTTCTTCAGGTTTACAGACAGGTTTCCTATGTTTAAAAAAAAAAAGATAGATGTATATATGTATGTTTGTATATGTATTTATATACAATCTATGTGTGCCTGTGTGTATATCCATACATATATACATAATTTTCTCCACCCCCCAATTTTTAAACATTTTTATTTAAAGTTTTGAGTTTCAAATTCTATTCTTCCTCCCTCTCTCCCCTCCCTGAGAGAGTAAGCAATCAGATATAGGTTATATATGTGCAATTATATAAAACAATTAAATATTAGTCATTTCATACAAGAAGACTTGAATAAAAGAAAAAAAAGGAAGTGAAGATAGCATGCTTCAGTCTGTATTCAATCAATATCAGTTCTTTCTCTGGGGGCAGATATTATGCTTCATCACTAGTCCTTTGGGACTGTCTTGGATCATTGTACTGCTGAGAATAGCTAAGTCATTCACAGTTCGTCATCGAACATGTACTGTGTACAATGTTCTCCTGATTCTGTTCACTTTTATTATGCATCAGTTCATGAAAGTCTCTCCAGGTTCTTCTGAAATCATCCTGCTTGTCATTTCTTGTAACACAATAATATTCCATTACAATCATATACCAACAGCTTGTTTAGCCATTCCCCAACTGATGGGGGGTTTCCAATTCTTTGCCACCACAAAAGGAACTGCTATAAATATTTTTGTAGAAATAGGTCCTTTTCCCTTTTTTAGATGTCTTTGGGATATAGACCTAGCAGTGGTATTGCTGGATCAAAGGGTATGCACAGTTTTACAGCCCTTTGGGCATAGTTGCAAATTGTTCTCCAGAATGGTTGGATCAGTTCACAACTCCACCAACAGTGCTTTAGTGTCCCAGTTTTCCCACATACCCTCCAACATCCAACATTTTCCTTTTTTGTCATGTTAGCTACTCTGATAGGTGTGAGGTGATACTTCATAGTTGTTTTAATTTGCATTTCTCTGATCAATAGTGATTTAGAGCATTTTTTCATATGACTATAGACAGCTTTGATTTCTTTGTCTGAAAAGTGCCTGTTCGTATCCTTTTACCATTTATCAATTGGGGAATGACTTGCAATTTTATCAGTTTGACTCAGTTCTCTATACATTTGAGAAATGAGGCCTTTATCAGAGATATTTGTTGCAAAAATTTTCCTTCAGCTTTCTGCTTTCCTTATAATTTTGACTGCATTGGTTTTGTTTGTTCAAAAACTTTTAAATTTAATATAATCAAAATTATCTATTTTACATTTTGTAATGCTCTCTATATCTTCTTTGGTCCTAAGTTCTTCTTTTATCCATAAATCTGACAAATAAATGATTCCATGCTCTCTTAATTTGCTTATGGTATCACCCTTTATGTGTAAATATTTTTTCTATATATATTTTTTCATACATTTCATACATTTTCTATTACATTCTACATACATTTCTACATACATTTTTTCTACATTTTCTAATATTTTCTACAACTGAACCAAGGATACATAGAATATGCAGAAAATGAGTGCCATATAAAAGAATTAGGCAGTGGAAAGCTGTACTATTTGGAGTCAGAGGCCCTAGGTTCAAATCTTGGCTCTCCCACTTGCATTGGACAAAACTCTGGACCTCTGGGAGCCTCAGTTTCTTCTTCTTCCAATGGGATTAGATAAGATGATCCTCTCGACCCCTTCTGCTCCAAGCTCTGATCTAGGGGAAGGTCAGTGTATTTCTGGAGCCAAAAGGGAGGAAATATCGCCTTCCTGGGACTGCCTGGGTAGTCTAGGACTACCTGAAGATATTGTGAGGCCGGCAGGTACTGCAAGGCTGAGATTATTTCTATCAGAGGGGATACCCCGGTAGAAAGGAAGTCTCTTGAGGGCAAAGGACTTTTGCTTATTGTCTTTCTCTCCCAGCACCAAGCCCAGGACTTGACACAATGATCTTGTACTGAATTGGATTCTGATGAACAAGGAAAGCCATACTTGACCAAGCAATGCTTCCCTGGCTTTTCCCAAGAAGGCAGGCTGCCCAATGGGCCTCTACACCTGGAAAACAGCCCATGACCCAAGTGCCAATAGCAGCCACAGCAAAGGGATCCTTTTCATCATCCATATAGTCGGTTATCCTTCTAGCTACCCAACCACTTTCTGTGGTTAACATTAACATTTGCACCAAACAGTAAACGGCAAATAAGTCTGCATCTGACTGCAGTTTCCCTAATGCATGGGTTCCCCACCCAGCTTTACATACGAACAAGCTGTGTGACCTTGGGCTCAAGTCACTTAACCTATGTTTGCCTCAGTTTCCTCAACTGTAAAATGGGAATCATAATAGCACCTACCTCCCACAGTTGCTATGAGGATCAGATGAGACAGTATTTGTAAAGCACTTAGGATAGTGCTGGGCACATAGTAAGTAGTATATAAATGCTAGTGATGATGACGTGTTGTGATGACTCCCTTTGGCAATCTGGTGAAGCCCATAGAGCCCCTCTCAGAATTATGTTTTTAAGTGTATAAAATAAAATACATAGGATTACAAAGAAAACCAATTATATTGAAATATGAGGATCAAAAAAATGTATTTTTAAAAACCTTGATCGAAAAGAAATTCCTAGAACTTTGGGCATCACATGGTGGTGACTAATCTGGCATCTGGAAAGACGTGATTGGGGGGAAAAGCCTGCCAGCTTCTTCTACTAAGATAAGCCTCCCCAGCGTCCCACCTGCTTTCTGATGCCTTAAACCCCGTTTTAATTTCCCAGGTGTTAGTTTTCCTTCCTTCTTCAAAGTATAGGATCAGAAATTTAGGGAAAGGGTCTCAGGAGTAATCTAGCCCAAATCTCCCTTATTTTACAGATGAGGAAACTGAGCCCCAGAGAAGTGACAGCCGGTCACACAGCAGCAGAAGCAGGCTCTTTTACTTAATTTAATTCGCATTTGTTATTTACAGAGCCTTACACATAACAGACCCTTGCTAAAATGCTGGTTGCATTTAACTGAATTGTTTGAATTGATATTGCTCTGGGAGAACCTCGTTTTTGATTGCACGTTCAGACAGAAGGGTGAGAATGTGGCCGCACCAGAAACCTGGCTACCCATTCCCATCCTGGTAGTAAAGACTGACGTCAGCCCCTTTCCTGGAAGAAGTTTTGAGAAAAGTGGGTGCGAAATCGCCTAGAAACGCGGAGCTCGCTCCCACAGCTTCACACACTTTACCACTTGGCCTCAGGCCAGTCCTGATTCAAGCCTCAGAAGTAGCTCTGGAGCTGGGGGTCCTGGCACAGCTCCTTAAGGGATGGGCTACCCTGGATAAATAATTTCCCTCTCTGTCACCGGACGGGTGTGGGCCGGCTGCTCTCCGTGGTCCTTTCGGGCTCCAAATGCTAGGATCGGAGCTCCCCAGAGCCACGGGGCTCCTTTGGTGGAGACGGGGGCCACACCCATGCCAGGCCTCGGTCAGCCCTGGCCTGCCCAGCTTAGCCAACGAGAGCCTCTAGAAGGGTGGCGGCCGGGCGGATCAGCGGTGTCATTGAAGGCCAGGGACAGCAGGGGGCAAGCGAGAGTCAGTTTCGCGAGCTCAGCCCGGGACTGGGGCGGGCCGGAGCTTTGGAAAGTCAGCCCAAAGTCCCGGGGGCCAGGGCGGGGACCCTTGGGAGGCGGAGCTGGGGGGGGGGGTCTGCTTGGCCCCGCCCGGGCGCCTCTGCAGCCTCTGGGCCAGATGCGCGCAGCTGGCTCCACTGGGCACCCAGGCGCACCTGGGCGCATGGCCACTACATCTCCAAGGCACCGGACGCTTTTGAGGGGCAGGCCCTGGGGCGGGCGGGGGGCGTCCAAGGGGCCCCCCTTCCCCGCGCGGGGTCTCACTGGTAAGTAATTGGGCTCAGCCCTCCTGTCCCAGGCCCCTCCGACCTCCCTCCTGCCATCCCTGCACTCCTAGTGAACTGCTTCCCCTCCAACGACCTTAAATGGGCTTCACCCCCCGAGGAGCCAGAGCGGGCACGGGGGCGAGGTACAGAGTTGGGGGGAAGGTGGTCAGCTTCACGGCCCTGCCTGCACTAGGCCCAAGGAGCCTAACCAGGGAGAAGCACACGCACGTGGGGCCGGGGGCTGGCATCTCCTCAGCCCCTTTCCCAAAGAGGAAGGGCACGTGGTGCTCTGAGCCCCTCTGCCTCCTTCCCCAAAATGGAGGCCACGTGGTACCCTGTGCCTCTGATCCCCTTTACCAAGTAAGGAGGCCACATGGGGCTGCGGGTCCCTTACCCCCTTTTTCAAAGAGGAGGCCACATGGTGACCAGAGCCCCACATCCTCTTTCCCAAGGAGGGAGGTCACAGGTAATGTCCTGACCCCTAACTCCCTTCCCCAGGAGGGAAGCCAGGTGGTGCTTTGAGCCCCTTTTTCTTTCCTACCCCAGAGAGCCCACATGGTAACTGAGGCCCCACGTGGTGGGTGCTCAGGCTCATGTCTAAAAAAACAGCGTGCCAGAGGGAAGCCCTTTCCTCCAAACCCACATGGTGCTTGAACTCAAAGGTCCTCGTGCTCCCCTGTATCCCCCCCCCCCCCCCCCCCCACGGCCCTGCCCCCCAAGGTCCCCCCCCCCCCCCCGCCCCCCCCCCCCCCCCGACCTTATGGCCAAGGCCACGATGGTTCCAGCACCCCTTTCTCTCCCACCCCAGCCTTATGGTGCCTTCACAGCCCAGTCCAGTGGGCCTTGGGTCCTGGAGCACAGGGCTCCCCATCTCCTCATACCTCTTGGGGAGGAAAGAGGACATTATATCCTGGCCTTACAGAGTCTAAACCACAACCAAACCTGCCTGTTTCCCATTTCCAGATGGGACTTGAATATCACTACACTGTGTCTCCTCCTACCCCCACCCCCATTTTAAAGGCAGCTTAATTACCCCTTTCTGAGTCATGATTTTTCTAGGCCTTTGTCTGTTCTCCCTAAGCAGATACCAGCAGAAGGCAAAGCTCAGGGACCTAGTATCTCTCCTAGAAAAGTCATGTCTTTCTTTCTGGCTGGACAGCTGATCTCTGAAAACAGCTGCATTGTCCTCCAAGGACATGAAAGCTAGAAGAGGCCCAGTGATTTCACTGGGGTAGTTAACTCCCAGATGCTCCCAGCAGTGCTTTCCACCCCTGCAGCTCAGTCTTAGCCAAGACTGCCTGTGCCTGGAGCATGGGGAATTGAAGTGCCTTTCTTCTCTAGACCTCAGTTTCCTTATCTGTCAAATTAGAGGGTTGTGCTTAGGTGATCTCTGAGATCTCTTCTAGCTCTAAATGTTGTGATCTTAGCAAGGGATAGACAGGATAAATAGATCGTGGAATGGGAGAACGAACTCTGCACGAAGAGTCAGGCGCCCTCAGTCTGGATCCCAACTCTCCCACAATTTTGTAACTTTGGGTAATTCACACCTGGTCTCTGGGCTTCTGCACTACCTTAAGCTGCCCCTTGAGAACCCCAGAAGCACCCCAAACCTCCGTCTGGAGAAGAGAGTTTTAGCTCAGCTAAGGTTTGTCACTGCCCAGGGCCCTTGATTCCCTTCCTCTGTAAAATGAGGGAGTGGGAGGAAATGCCCTCCAAGGCCACTCTGCCCCTAAATTCTATGATCCTGAAATCCATTTTGCCAAATCTCTCGAGCCATTTTCCTGTTCGTGAAGTCCAGTCTTGGATAATAGAGATAATTACACCTCCACTTTGGGGCCGGGAGGGTAAAAGACCCGTTGATTGGAGCAGCATTCAGCTTAAAGGGCCCTTACAAACAACAGGCAGCTGATTTCTCCTACACAGTCACTTACAGCCTGTTTGCTATTGTGAAGTTTGGTCAAGAGGGGGTCTGGGAGGGACTCCCCCCTGCTAGAGCTCTTAAGCACAAACTCTTTAAGCAGGGAGGGAGAGAAAGACAGAGGTGTGCGTTAGGAACTCCAGCAAAGGGAAATCATGAAGCAGTCATTTTCTGGTCAGCATGGTGGCCAGTCCTGCTGGGATTCTGGACAGAGTGGGCTTGGAAAGTTGTGCCCTGGAAACTAACTGTTGGCAAGGTTCGAAATGGGCCATCGCAGCACACTTTGACTTGGATTGTGCCCCTACACGTGCCCTTGGACCACAGAATACTGCCTCGGAGGGTTCCTTTGACATCCAAGGGATCTTAACCTGAGCTCCACAGACTGGATGGATTTTAAGGGATCCATGAACTTGGATGGGAAAAAAAATCTTTATTTTCACTAGCCTCTAACTGAATCGAGCATTCCTTTCAATTATGAACTTAAAAAGAAAACATTTTGAGAAGGGGTCCCTAATCATCACCAGATTGCCCAAATGATGGGGGGTAGGGGTGTCTATGGGGTCTAAAAAGGCCTGCTGTAGCCCAACTCCTTCATTTTACAGAAATGACCTTAAGAAAATTGATTTCAGAATTGGAAGTGCCCAGGGGAGGTGAATTCTGGGAGGACAGGGTTAGCCCATTGTAGGTTTAGCCCAGTGCCAGGATTAGCCCAGTGTGGTTAGAGCAGAGAGACCACAGACTTTGAATCTGGGGCTCTCTTTCTGGGTTTGAAAAAATGAAAAACAAAAACAGAACGCTCCAAACCCTCACTTTCTCTTGCTTCAATGCTACAACCAAAAGAGTCTCCATCTAATCAGTGCTACTCTCATGGAAAAGGTAAGCCCTTTGACTGGATACTTTTCTTTTGTAATAGTAGAGTGTACAGCCTACAGGGGATTGCAGTCAGGGCAGATTTGCAAAGGGAAAGCAAGAGGAATGTGAGTCTGGCCAGGCCAGGACCTGGTCTATGCCATGGGAGGGCAGGCCCCCAGCTAGCTCTTATCTCTTAGCTAAATGAACCTGCCCAGAGCCTCAAAAGACATCGGTATTTCAGAATTCCTAGGTCCTCTTGGAGGAGGGAGGGAGGAAGCCTCCTCTGCTAAGGGTACAAAGGTCAGAATGGAATGGCCTCTGCCCTGAAGGAGCTCCCCTTCTACTGGACAGATAAACCCCCCAGACTGACAAGAAAATATCCTGACTTTTTCTTGGGGATAGAGAAGGGCTGCTGGGAGAGAGGAGGTGGAGATAAGAGGCTTAGGGTTTGAATTCTAGCTCAGCCCTTCTGACCTCCAAGACCTTGGGGCAAAGAACTGACAAAATCATTCCATCAGAAGCTCTTTCAGGGCAGGAGCTGTCTTTTGTTTCTTTACTAAACACCCACCATAAGCCAGGCACTGGGCTAAATTCTGGAGGTACAAATACAAGGAGCTTATATTATTTTTAAAAATTGATTTGTATTCTGACCTTAACAAACACCAAATAGAATGAGCAGTTTTGTCTGTGTAATAGAACAGAAAATGATGACTGTTGTGAAGCTGCAGGTCTCTGTTACGTACAGCTGAATTTTCTTTTAAATGCATCAGAAGTTTAGCCTGTAGCTTTCAAAGTTGAAGGAACTTAGTGTCTCGTGGGAGAGATGTCCATCCAGAAGGGTGGTGGCCAGTCACAGAGAGGGATATTTTGGTTTGGGAAATTCCAGGGCCTAAGACTGGTGTCCCCGGGATATGTGGTAGACAAATCCTTTACAGGAATGGTAATCTGGGTTTATGTGCTTGGTAGTATGAGCATAGCAGGAATATCACTGGAGAGCAGTGTGGTAGGGTTGGGGTGGCCTTAATGACATGGACAGCAGAGTGGGAGGGTTGGGATGGTCTGGACATAGTGAACTCTCTTTACCCATTAGAAGCCCAGGTTGGAGCTTGAGTATGGGGGCATAGGCCCTTGTGGGGAGTTTGTGTTATTGTCTGGGCTGCCTCTGTTAAGACCATGTGCAACCAGCAGGTTTTCACGGTATTGGCAGCCCAGGAAAAGCTGGGCTAATTTTGGGCATTGAATATCTCCCGCCTGCCTCCCTGCATTCACAGCTGAACAAAAGCATAATTCTGTTATTTTCTTCTTTTTGTCCCAAGGTCCATGAGGAAAACAAGGCAGGCTTATGGTGAATTTCCAGTTGTTTCAGGTACGGGTCAGTGGGGTATCATTTAACCTGGGCTGTAAGGGAAATGGAATACTTGGCCAAGGATGAAAATCACAGTCTGATTGGGCATAGTTCACATGCTCTGATGGGTTAAAGGATTTACCTGAGGCCAAACGAACATTCTCTTGGATATTTAAGATGTCAGGAAAATGAGACCATCTGCTTGACCAGGAGATCAGTTTATCACAAAAAAGCCTAAAACTGAACAGCAATGGCCCTCGTTAAAAAACAAAACTAAAGACTGATTGGGAGTCATTTCCTACCCTTAGCAGATGCTCTGCAAACGTGAGTTTTCCAGGTAAAGGACCTAGCATTTTAGTTTCAATGCTTGGCAGTTGGTTTTTTATTTTTTCAACCCTTTCAGAAATAGAGACCATTCTCCTGACTTCTAAGTAGAGTATGAGGAGAATGACTCCCTCTTCTCGAAGACTGATTCTTGTGATCAGTTCCTGGGCTGTGGCCGAGGTGATTGTACATTCTCAAGGCTTGTTGAAATTTGTAGAACTTGCAGCTAAGGGAGCCTCAGGCCTCTCCAGCTGATCTGGTTTTATGCTTTAAGTACAAAAAATCCTGTCCATTATGAGATCTATTTGGGTCCAGTGCTAAAGGTGAGTGAATTGTGCTTCCCTTTCCTGGGGTCTAAGTCCCTGGAAAGCACCACATGCCACCTCATAAGCAGTTTTCCTCAGCCTTTGCTGGCTGCTGTTGAATCCCTGACTCCTTGGGTATAAGGGGGCAGCCCGAAGGCTGGCCTGGGTCATCAGGTAACCAAGTGGTGACGCTCAAGTTAAACTGGGGGCTAAAAAGGGACAGAGTAGAAGCAAGGGCCAGAGTTTTATCACCGCAGCTGGTGCTGAGCTCCACTTTGGGGCATCCCAGCTCATGGCCTTTCCAGAACGTCGTCATTGCCAGAAACTAGACGGCCAAGACAAGCGAGCCCCATCCAGGAAGATCTGGAGTAACAAAGAAAAACAAAGCCCGCCTCAGCCTTAAGTTTGCAGGATGTCCGTATGCTCGAGCTTGGATGCGTGGATAGGATGATCAGTTCAGGAATGAAATCCCATAGAAGTCATTGAATGTCACGGAGTCACTTATCAGAAACAAACCAGCCAAGCACTGACCAAAAGCGCATTCTGCCTGCACGGTATGATTGGGGAGAGCCTGTCTCTTCACTAAGTGAGAGTCTTATAGCTCGTCATTGGGCCCTGCAGGCCCACCAGATAATAAATGATGTTTTTCCTTTGCCAGTTCTGGTCCTCAGATGAGACAGAAGCAAAGAAAGCACATCGTCATTGAACAAGGTACTAACGTGAAGGGGTGGTACCTGCAGAAGTCCTGCTGGGAGCCCTGGGATTAGAGGAAGTTGAGATGAGTCGAAGGTCCCCCAGGCCTCCGCCACCCTCCCACCCCTTGAGGCTGAGTGACATGTCTAAGGTCTCCAGGTAACTGTGGCAAATCTGGGGTTGGGACCTCTGTCATTCCACTGTAGTGCCGTCCCATGCACACCGCGCTGTTCTTAGCTGATAGGGAGCCTTTCCAGGGAGGGGTTGAGGTGCAGTTCCATTTGGGAAAGAATGTGGCTCATCTAGACCAAAGCATCCTTAAAAAACCTAACACAGTGGAGCCAAGCCTAGTGATAGAGCCTCTTCCAGGCTCTGGTTCCATACCCCAGCTTCCTTCAGAACTGAGCTAGAAGAGGCCTCAGAGACGTCTTTACAGATGAGCAAATGAAGGGTGCTTCCTTGGCTGAGGTCACCCTGGATGGGGCTCCAATATTCTTCCTACTCTGAAAGAGGCTTCAGCTGCCAACACAGCCCACGGGCACTTTTTTTCTTTAATAAAGCCATTTATTTACTTTTAATTTTCAACATTCATTTCCATAACATTTTGAGTTCCAAATTTTCTCCCCATCTTTCCCCTCCCCCACCCCCAAATGGGGTGTAAATTGATGTAGGCTCAACATATCCATTCATATTAAACCTATTTTCACATTAGTCGTGTAGTAAAGAAAAATTAGAACCAACGGGAGAAACCACAAGAAAGAAGAAACAAAACCAAAAAAAGAGCAAATAGTCTGCTTCGATCTGCATTCAGACTCCACAGTTCTTTCTCTGGATGTGGACAGCATTTCCCATCATGAGCCTTTTGGAGTTGTCTTAGATCCTTGTGTTGCTGAGAGGAATTAAGTCTATCACAGTTAGTCATCCCATAATGTGACTGTTACTGTGTCCCACGGGCGCTTCGGAGAGGCAGGTCAGTCCTGCCTCGGGTAGCAGGTTTGTGGCCAGATGAGCTCCCAGTTCTGGGACAGCTCCCGGTTCCAATGAAATCCTATGGGGCAGATCTTGTCCATTTCATTTCCCTTCAAGCTTTGGGCACATGTAGGATTCTAGGACTGAATGAGGATCTCTGCTCTGCCTAGTATCTGGAGAGCAGAGAAAGGTAAAGAAAAGGTGTGATCTACTCCCAGGAGAGTATAAGATCCTTGCTCGATTGGCACATTGTAGGCACTTAATAAATGCTTGATCCACAGTTTGTAGCCTGGCATCTTGGCAAAGGCACTGAATTTAGTCAGAACACCTGAGTTCGGCCCTTGCCTGGACATGACCTTGGCCAAGTCAATCAGAGCCTCTCTGGCTTCCTTCACAGCTCCTGGGGAGGCCTTTCCTGACCACCCCCCAACCCCAACCAAATTACTTTGCATTTACTTTGTATGTACGTTGTCTCTTAACGTTTGTCTGTATCCATTTTCTTTCCCTTGCTACACTGTAAACTCCTTGGAACTGTTATCTCCTTTGGCCTGACCGAAGAAGGTGTTGAATAAACTCGTGCTGATTGACTGACTTCTTAACCGGAGTCCTTGCTTCCTCATTCCTAAGGGGGGTGCCTTTGGGAGATGGGAAGAAAACACAATTCAAGGACTTGTTTCTAACCTTGTGTTCACCTTTTAAAGACTGATATTCATGGTAAGTGTCACATGTGGATGGAAATTCCCGAAATTCCCCATGTGTCTGAATCCTTCACTTGACACGTCTCCTAATGTTGGGCATTTTCACCGGCATCACAGCTCAGTGAAGTAAGGGCAGCTCTGACCATGACTGAGATGCAATAGCGGAGCAAATGTTAAGGCGTAGACCAAGAAGAATAGAATCAAATGTGAAATCCCTGGAGGCAGGCACTGTTTCGTTTTTGCGTGGCACATAGTAAGTGGCTAGGGCTGGCCTCCTTGCCGTTCCTCACACACGACACTCTTCTCCATTCTGAGAAGCACCCGTGCCTGGGATGTGCGCCCTCCTCATCTCTCCCTCCTGACTCCTCAGGCTTCCTTCAGAGCCCAGCCAAACTCCCACCTTCTCCAAGAATCCTTTCCCAATCCTGAATACCAGCACCCTCCCTCAGTTTACCCCCAATTTATCTTGTATATGTTTGTTTGTACACAGTTGTTGGCATGTCTCCCACATTAGACCAAGCTCCACGAGGGCAAAAACCGTGTTTTACCTTCCTTTGTATCTCCAGTGCTTATCACAGTGTCTGGCTTATTGAATGAATGAGTAAGAGAAGAATATTAGGCAGGAAGCGGCTACAGAGTTGTCAGAGGGCCTTTGGCTGGTATAGGACTAGGGTTATGCCTTCAGAACTGTGAGCGATTAGCCTTCTTCCATTGCATGGGTTCTGGTAACCCCTTCACTCCCAATTATACCATAGAGCCTCTTGACATGAGCCTCTTTAGGTACTCAGAGATTGGTATCTGTTAATGAACTACAGGCTGAGGTGAATGAAATCCTTGGGAAACACTTGGGGTTTAGTGATTCCCATAAGCAAATTTAAGGGGTAGCAACTTAAGACTGACGTGGGACAGTGGTGGGCTGAGAAATAGATGAGAAGGAGCTGGAGGCCCGGGACAGCAAATGGGCTATGGAGTGGTGACTGATGCTTTCCCAGGAATGGTCCATGACACGCATGATTCGGAGGCTAATGTGATTTTTCTCCCTCTTTATACTGAGCCAAATAGGCCAAGATGCACACTTGTAGCCAAAAGCCCAGCTGTCTCCTCAAATGGTACCTGGTTTAACAAGTCACCAGATTCTTTTGTTCGGGCCTTTCAGACAATGGTCCCTTCTTCCTCGGCTCTGGCTTCCTTACAAATGGGGTGTGTTCCAAAAGTCAGCGTGTTAGGTCAGTTGTTTGGAACTTGACAAACACTTTCCCATAGACACAATGGCCTGCGTGGTTCTCAAGCAGGCCAGTAAATGCCTGTGTTACCCATAACACAAGCATAGTGGCCGTGCCCAGGGACCCTAACCATCCAGTAGAAAAAAAATGCATGCCATGTTCCACTTTGGATGCCAAGAACAACACGTCTCTGTCAACGTCATAAGGCTGTGGGCCCCTTACCCTCTTGTCATCACCCGTTCGGGAGCTCTCCCAGCTCCAAAATGGCAGCTGGTTTCTGAGACTGGGCAAGAGACCGCAATGGGAGTGATGGGAGCTATGGGGAGAAAGTTACAAAGGACAACCCCGTGAGGTAAGAGGAGACGGAGCTTTGTGGGATGGGACCTGGGAATACTCACACTTTTCCCTCAGACTTTCCAGATCCGTAGTTTCCTTTAAGGCTCAGCTCAGCGGCCCCATCCACTAAAAACCTTTCCTAGACATCCCTGGCTACAGCTGAAAACATTCTCTCCCTCCCTCTGGGGCTTATGAAGCTCAAACTGGAAGGGATCTTGGGGGCCATCAAATCTTATCCCCTTAATTGACAGGTGAGGAAAATGAGGCCCAAGGACTTGCCCAAGGTGACAAGGCAGTCAACATCAGAGTCAGGATTGGAGAGCAAGATGGCTGATTCCAAATTCAGGGCTTTTTTCAGTGTGCCTCATAGCCATGTGCAAATACTGGTCCTTACACAATCTAATTAAGGATATTTTTTCCCAGGCAACTAGAACCGATGTGAAACCGGACCAATGGTTTTCTCAGAGTTGACAATGGACCCAGAGTTCTTCCTGTTACTGGAGAGAAGGGGGCATGCTGGGGGCAGGCTGAATACCAGCTTCTGTTACCCACAAACCCACCAGATGCCGTCTTTGAAAGGTTGCTGCCTACCTCAGGCCCTACAAAGTCTCAATATGATGGGCTCTTTGTAAGCAAGCAAGGAGTCTGTAATGTCCAAAGGAGCCCCAAATGTAGAGTGTGAGGACTCCTGGGTTCACACCCTGCCTTCCTCTGATTTCTCGGCCTGTGACTTCCCTGTTCAGGCCTTATTTTCCCCACTTCTAACATGAGGGTTTGCTTTAGATGACAGTTTCAGGTCAAGCATTCCATGGTCCTTGGAACCTTTGCCTAATGTTGGAGTTCTAAGGGCCGTAGATTTAGAGCTGGAAGGTCAACTAGGCCAATGCGCTCATTCCACAGCTGGGGAAACTGAGGCCCAGAGGAGTGAAGCAACTTGCCCCTTCTCCAAGTCTCTGCCCATTTTGTGGGTTCTGCTCCTTGACCTTGCCTCACTCTGCCTTGTATTAAGTTTACTTGCGTACATGGCATATCTCTTCCCAAACCTTGGCCCTTTGTGGGGAAATACAAGCCGACTCGGGATGGCAGCTCCCCGTTTCTCTTTATTTTTTTGATCCTCCACCACTGGGGGATCATCAAATCATCAAAAGGCAGATGATTACTGTTTGTTGCTTTTGGGCCCCACACCCTGGTGCTCCCCCTCGCTCCCTTTTCTGCTGCTCCTTTCAGCCCTGGATCTCCGAACAACCAAACAGATCATGCGGTCTGGAGGCTAGGATTTCAAACAGGTACTTAGCCTCTTTCAGAGATTTTATAGCCGGCCATGTGGGGCAGCAGACCAGGGAATAAAGAAGCCCCTTGCTATCTATGCCTCTTCTCCTTCATTTTTTCCTCCCTTCCGCCTTCTAAGGAAAGACAAAATCTCTCTCTCTCTCTTTCTCTCTCTCTTTCTCTTTCTCTGTCTGTCTGTCTGTCTGTCTCTCTCACACACACACACACACACACACACACACACACACACACACACACTCCTCCAGATGTGTGAGGTCTTTAGGTCCACAAAGTATGCTTTTGTGGGTCTTTAGGCACACAAAAAACTGAAGCAAAATTTGGTGGCCACCCAGAGTCAGGCTATCTGAGCCCTTCATCCTGTGTGAGAAGAGAGACCTTGGAAGAAGGAAGAGGCTCTGTTTCCTCCTTCCTTTTTCCCCTTCCCATGGCCAACTCTGCTGGAAGGAGGGGTAGTATGAGACAATGGGATGCCAGGCAAAGGGGGAAAGCTCAGTGCCTATGTCCAACAAGCCACCTGGTGAGGGCAGCTGTTCTGACATCTGCAGGATGGCATCATCTCCACACACATATTCCACTGTGCCACACCCTAGGGCCTGCCAACAAATTATGCTCGGCTCCCACTCCCACCCCCTACACCAGTTGTTATTTTTTTTATTCCCTCCTCAGGCCAGAGCTATCCCCTACAAGGGTAACATTGGGAGGGGCAGAGATATGGTATGGTATACACCCTGCCCAAGTCATTTCCTTGGAATCCTCTTCAGTCTGACCCAACAGTGTAACAATGCACGCAAATGAACTGAAAATTGGGCAGACAAAGTGGGATTTGGTCCAGATGTGTGATTTTATCAAGGTAGGGAACTCCAAGTTTGAAAAGCTTCTCCACTAATGAAAATCAGCACCTGCACCCTATCGTCTTCGAGGGTTGCCTAGGACACTGAGGTTAAAGGATTTGCCCACAGGCACTGTCGGAGTGTGGACTTAAGAAGCATCTTGGTAGAATGGAAATCAACGGCATTGGAGACAAGGCATTTTAACTCCCTGAAACTCAGTTTCCTTATGTGTGAAAGAGAGGTTGGAGTAGATGTCCTCTCCGGCCCCTTCCAGCTCTGGATGTGGATAAGATCCATGATCTCATGTAACCTAACCAGACGAGCAGACCCAAGTAACGCTGGACGCTCCCATCTCACTGTCTCCTGCCAAGCAGGTTTGGGATAGATACTTGTCCATCTGGAAAGTGAGTGCTTCTAGCCAAGTGCTAGCCCCTTGAACTTGAACTTGTTAGGTTCTCCCTGTTCCCAACGTGGCCGGTTTTTTGCAGAGGGCTTGGCATCCAGTGCTCTGTTTGATTATCCCAATAAATCCAAGTTGGGTAATCCGGGCATTCCCATTCTGCCTGTAAACATCTACAGAGGAGGAAACTGAGGCTCGAGCCATGCAGCTCATTAGCAGTCAAGCCAAGGCCCCACTCTGTGCCTCCACCTCAGGCCGGACGTCGACCTTTCCATGGCTTAATGCAGTTAGGACAGCTCAAAACTTGTTATCTTCAATTAAGGCTCCAGATTGCACTTTCTGTCCTTTCGTTGCCCTCGGTACCAAATGAAATCCTGGCCAATCAACAGGCTGGATGACAGGCAGCCAGGATCCAAAAAGGGTTTGACAGGTGAGAACATTGGATTGATTTTAATGAGATGAAACCAGATAGGACTAGATGGACATCTCTTCTGAGCCTTGGGTTTTTAAAAATCGACCTCACAAGTACGAGACAAGGAAGCGTCGCTTGCCAGAGAACAGCTCATGTGAAAAAGGTCTTGGGGGGAGAGGCAGCTCACTGGGGCAAGTGGAGAGTTTATCTTAGGATCAGAAAAACTTGGCTTCAAGTTTCCCCTCCTACACATAGTGACTAGGACACCCTGGGCAAGTCACTTAACCTTTTCATGCACCAAGCAACTCTCTATTTTTTTTTTTTTGGTGAAGCAATTTGGGGTTAAGTGATTTGCTTAGGGTCAGACAGCTCCTAAGTATCATGTGTCTAAGGCTACATTTGAACTCAGGTCCTCCTGACTCCAGGGCCCGTGCTCTATCCCTTGTGTCACCTGGCTGCCCCAACCAAGCGACTCTCTGAAAACGGTAAGTTACCAGTTGTCAGTGAAAAAATCAAAACCAAAGACCAAAAAACAAAACAAAACCAAACAAAACACATGGCCTAAGCTTTTAGTGAAGCATAAGTCAGTGTATGAACCAACCCTGTGAATATGAGCCATCTCTGTCCCTATGAGACTGAAATCAGAGAAGCCAGTGGGATCTTGGGTTATGTTAAGAGAAGGGGGCGTCCAGAAATGGAGAGTATAGGCCCTGACCCATCTCCATCTGGTATTCAGGTCTGGGCACGCATCATTACAATGGAAAGCACCAGAGGAAGTTCAACTCAGAGGGCAAAAGTGCTCAAGATGGTGCCATATGAAGGAAATGGGAATTTCAGCTTGGAAAAGAGAGGACTTGGGGAGAAGGTTAAAGTTGGAGTCCTCTCCCATACTTTGTTCATTTATGGGTTCATTGATGCAAATATGAGGGTTTGCAAACTTGTGTCTGAAAGGTAATTTATAGAGAGTTGCAAGGGGACGCTCCACTGAGAAGTTAAGAGATTTGTCCAGGGTCATCCAGCCTGCATGTGCCAAAGGCAGGACCTGAACCCAGGTCTTCCTGACTCAAAAATTTACCTTCTATTCACTACAACATGCAGCCTCTCTAAAGGTCCTTATAGAAAAATGGATGATGTTTAAAGTCTCTCTTTTATTAACGATGTAGTTAAGTACAAAGCAAAATGTGGCATTAATATAATATTTAATAATGACATTCAAGGCAAAATAAGATGTTATGTTCACATTTCCAAGTCTTTTAACTCACATAAGTACAAGATGGAATCTTGGAGAGGGTCATGACGTGGTTTTTGAAGACTTCTACAATGCAAATATGCACGTCCCAAATAGAACGTGGACTCACTCCCGCCGTGGCTACTTTTGTGGTTGTCTTCAATTCTGTGAAGTTTGATTTGTCTTGGTTGCTTGATATTAACAGCCAAGCTGGTCAAGACTATAGCCCTTGCTTTTAAAAAAGAGAGTTAATGATCTCAGTACATTTTTCAGGATAGAATAAAATGTCTCTAAAAGTCAAGTCATTAATGATCAATTTGACAAATGTGTGAGAGACAAAAACAATGAAAATCTTCCATGTTATACAAGAGAAGTGAACTATTGAGGCCCTTTAACCCAGGAAGGTCAAAGACGGAAACAGAGGTATAATAGTATAACATATACCAATAAATGAATCAATTCACCAACATGCATTTATTAAGTGCTTACTGTTTGCCAAGCACTGTGCTAAATGCTGAGATACAAAGAAAGGCAGAAACAGTCCCTGTGAGTCCTCAGGGAGCTTACATTTTAATGGGAGAGATAACATGTACATCTATAGGTAGATATAAGATACACAGAGTAAATATAGTGTAATCTTCAAAGGGAAGATGGGGGGGAGACTGGGAATGCCTCCTGCAGGAATTCTAAAATACGGGTAAGAATGGAGTGCATTCTAGGCTTGGGGCCCAGCTAGTGGAACAGTACAGAGAGGGCTGATAGAACTGGGTGTGGAACAACTCCAATATTGGTAGCAGGGTTCTTTGTGGTAACCAAGCAGGTGCCCATTGATTGGGAACACTGGAGAAACTGGGACCAATAGATATAATGGGATATTACTGTATAGCAAGAAATGATAAATATGAGAAATTCAGAGAAAAATGGAGAGATTTGAAAAGCCAATGCAGAGAAAAAAATAATAATAGCTAACATTTATATAGCTCCTACTATGTGCCAGGCACTGTGTTAAGCACTTTCCAAATATTATCTCATTTGATCCTCTCCACAACCTTGGGAAGTAAGTACTATTCTTATCCCCATTTTACAGATGAGGAAATGGAGGTTAAGTGATGTTCCCAAGGTCACACAGCTAGTAAGTAACTGAGACTGAATCCAGGCCCAGTGCTCTTTGCACTATGGTGCCACATAGGTGCTGCTGGGTCAGAAGAATACTATGCATAAGGATTTCAACAATATCAGTGAAAAGGTAGATAAAAGGAAATCAAGATTGGAATAAACGAAAAACAAATATTGGTCTCAGCTAATGAACCCTGGTGCACTGTGCCTGGCACAAAGTAGGTGCTCTATAAATGCTGTTGTTATTATCCCTCCTCTTAGCAGAGGGGCTGGGGGACTGTGCTGAGGAGCCGCCTTCATTGTCTGATAGCCCCCCTGATTTGGCAGGTTTGATAAACTGTTTTTCTTTGTTACAAGGGAGGGTTCTTTTTTTTTTTTTTTGGAAAGAGGAGGATCTTTCGAGAAATTATTGTGATATAAAAAAAAAAGGCTGGAATAAAACTGGTTAAATAATATTTTTCTTCAATGACTCATCCTCTCCCTCCTCATGCTTACCTTGTGGAATCCCAAGGTTCCTTCCAAGCACAGTTCATGTACCACCTCCTACCCCTGATCTCCCCAGCTGATACTCCTGAAATTACTTTGTATTTCTTCATACTATTCATCTTGGTACAGCTGCCTCCCTCCCCAAAGCAGAATGTAAGCTCCTTGCACGGCAAGCACTGTTAATTTTTGTCTTCCTATCCTAGCTCCGAGTACATATTTGATAAATGTTTGTCAAATTGATTTAATTTTTTTAGGAACAAAGGAGGAGGGTTTTTGCAATCTACTCACTCTGGAAGTTCAGTGAACTGATACATACAAACTTCTAGTCTCTCTGAATATTATAGATGGAGGATAAATACATGAGAAGATTCCTACAAAGAGGACGAATCAGAGAAATATTGGAGAGAGCTGGTATCTTTCTGGTGCAGAAGGAGCCCTCCCTCACAAGTGGCCAACTCAGAGCAGTCAGTAAGATGATTCTTGGGAAAAGAGGCACCAGAGAGGTGAGCACCAAACAACTGGAAGAATGTGTGATGCCAACGCTGAGGTGAAGCAGAGAATTGAAAGGAAAGCTTTCCTTCTCTTGAGGAACTAAGACCAGAATAGTAATCTCTGGGCTTTAAAAAAAAAAATAGTTAAGCAGTTCAGCTAGAGAAATGAATGAAAGCTTTGGTTTTTTAGTTGTTTTTTTTTTTAATCTTTTATAAAAATTACTTTTTAAAACGTATTTTGTCAATAAATCAGTTATCTTAATGGACATTATATATTTTGTAAATTTGTGCTTTGGAAAACAGTGTCAATTTCTCAACCCTGAGATGAGCTGGAATGAGTACAAATAGTACAAGGTCTACCTCCACCTGATTGCAACATCCCTAGATTACAACGAAAGGTCTTCAAGTCACCTCAGGTGCTGAAATTGAAAGTGTATCTTCCAAAGGCGACAACCTCATGTCGAGATATTATACCGAGAGAGAGAAGAACAATTTGTGTTCATTTGGCTCTAACTGGACTTGTGGGATCTCTATGGCAAGAGTAGTGGAGTCGTGACAGAAAGGACTTCAGTTGATTTTCTGTTGTCCCTCCCACCACTCCCCACCCCCGACGCTCGGCGGTATCAAAATCTTGCCATCACTTACTTGTCTTAAAGTAGAGAATATGGACAGTCTTGGGGTCTGTGGCAGGATGCCTAATGCAACATTGAAAAGAATTTCAGACACAGAAAGACTGCAAACTCTTTGAGGGTAGGGATCGCCTCATTTTTGTCTTTGCAATCCCCAGAGGGTAGTACAATACTTCCCACATAGTTGGTGCTTAACAAAACTTTGTTGAATTGAACTGAGTGGGCCCAATTTTCCGACATAATATATAAAGCACGAAACAACCAATTTATTCTAACATTTTAAAGGACATATTATTTTCTACTGAAGGAGAAGATTGTTTTCCTCATTACATAAATCCTTGAGAATAAATATACTTTAAAGCCCTGGTTAATTGGCCCTCAAGTATGCAGAACTCTCAAGTAACTAGCATGTGTAGTTGTTTTTTTTTTCCTCTAAAGGGCAAAAGTTAGTGGTCGGGAGAACCAGAGAAGACCTAAAGACCTAAATGCAGCACTCTGGCTGCCAAACTTCTGAGGCTTTCAAACACAATTAAAAGCTGCAAGAGTTTCTTTGAAGATTTTTATATATAAATGTGTGTGCTAATTACAACTATTAAGGGCCCCTAGCTTGGGATTTCACACCTTGTCATAGCACTATTCCCCTGTCAACAAGCTGTGTGAGGCATGATTCTAATTAATTTACTTTCCTGATGTCTCTTAAATGTCCTTTTTTTTTTTTAAGTCAACTATCACCAGGATTTATTATATAAAGTGTTAATAGGCCTAACTGAGAAATGCAAGCAAAGATATTCTCAAGATCCTGTCCTTTCCACGTTTTCAACTGGAGGTGAGTGAGTGGTAGAAAATATAACTTTATGCTCTAAAATAACAATCTCATTCACTTCTTTTTTTCTTTAGGGGGAAAATCCATTTTGTGTACTTTTAGTATATATTCATTATGTTGTACTTCTATAATTTTAGGCACAAATGGGTTTTTCTTTAACTTTTTATTAACCACTAAATCCATATAGCTAGAATGCCTTATTCCTCTGCAAAGCTAGTTAGCTGATGTGTGATTATATATATTACATGATAGTCCCCAAATGTGGTCTTCCTTGCACTAACATTTTTTGTGTGTCGGTGACCAAGGCCCAAATGAACCTTATCGCTAGCTATATTATTTTCCCTTCTAAACAAACACAGAAATTTGAATCCCCTCAATAAAGCAGCAATTAATGTCATTTCCCATTTAAACAGCCACACATATTTTTGCTTACTTTTGGATGTAATTTTTTAAAGAGAGAGAAATTAAGACAATTTGTAACAGTTTTCAGTGTTGGTGATTTATAACTAATAAGAAAATTGTGGTTCATTAGTCTTAACCGGTGGCAACTCATTTATGTTAATGTATTTGGAAGTAACATTAATATTGTTCGTAAAGTTGTTTTGTTTTGTTTTTCTTTTTAAAGTTGGAATTTCTACTCAGTCATCAAAATGAGGATGGATGGAGAGAGCCAGATCTGAAGTCTGGCCCATAACACACGTGTCACAGCTAATATTCACTAACTATCGAATGCTCACTGGAAATGAATAAAACTATAATGATTGCCTTTGTTTAAATCACAAACGACTACTCCTTCACTCAGAGGTTGTCACACAGCATAAAGGTCTTCCCCATGTGATGGTATATCATGGAGGTAGCATGGTTTTTTGGGAAAGTACACTGGACCTGGAGTCAGGAGAAATTCGAGTTCAAATCCTGGCTCTAACACTTACTGGCTGTGTGGCTCTGGACAAGGCCTTTATCAGCTCCAAGACTCAGTTTCTTTAACTGTGAAATGGGGACAAGATTACATATTCTACCCACTGATGGGTGGGTGGGAAAGACAGTGGCTGTTGTGAGCAAAATGCTTCAGAAATCTTAAAATACTACAGAAATGAGCTACTATCGTTCCTAACCTACACTTACCCCCTGGGGAATGGGGTGGAGGCACAAATACGATCATTTTGGCAGGCTTAACAAATACCATTTTGATATGCTAACAGCCTCTAGGAATCTCTGACTAATATTCACATTAAGACATGAAGAACAGAAATTTGCAATAGGGAGCCATGTAATTGGCATTATTAAGGCCCAGCTGCTGTTGGCACATCCAGATGAGAGGATGGGGCTTCTCCAGGAACAGCGATTAAGAAGCAAGCTCTCAATGAGACTTCTCCATCCTCACCCCCCACCCTTGACCTCCCACTGCCCCTTCCTCCTCCATACTCTCTCCTCTCACGGCTTCTGTAACATTTAATGTGTCTTGGTTCTCCTGCTACCTATCAGACCATTCGTTCTTAGTCTCTTCTGCTGGATCATTATCCATGTCCTACTCGCTGGGTGTGAGTGTCCCAAGACCCTCCCTTGGGTTCTCTTCTCTTCTCTCTTCCCTAAGTCATCTCATCTGCCCCCATGGGTTAAACAGGCATTTCTATATAAACGGCTCCCCAAACTATATATCCAGCCCTAATCTTTCCCTTGAGCATCATTCTTACTTTGTCTTTTACTTCCTGAATGTCTCAAAAAGCCTCTCAAACCCAATAGGACCAAAATAAAACTTCCAATTCTCCCCGTCACTGTCTGTCCTCTACACCTCCCTTTTGTGCTGTGGCACCATGTTCCACTCATCCAGGTGGACAGCTTCACAGCCATTCTTGGTTCTTCTCTTTCCCTCATCTCCAAGATCCAACCACTCCCTAAATCTGGTCAATTCTACTTTCACAACATCTTTTGCATCTGTTTCCTCTTTTCCATTCACAAGCACAACCCTAACCTTTTAACTTGTGGCCCTGCTTCAAGTCTCTCCCCTCCCCAATCTGTCCTCCACCCACCTTTTAAATTAACGAAGATCTGATCACACTGGCTGATTCTTCAAGGAGCTTCAACCGCTCCTAGAATTGTACCTAGAAAAAGATACAAGATCCTCAGCTTGGCATTTCAAGTCTTCTATAAACTAGCACCCTCCTATCTTTCTAGGTTTTTTTTTTCATATTACTCCCTTTCATACACTCTGTCTTCTAGTCCAAATGGTCCAATGCCAACTCAAACCCAACTTCCACCACGTGCGTTTGTGTAGACTGTCCATCCCCATGCCTGGAATGCCCTCACTCCTAAAATGTGCCTCTTAGGGTATCTGGCTTCTGTCAAGACTCAGTTCGGGGCCATGTCGTAGGTGTTTCTGAGCCTCTGGCTCTAGGTGGTAGTACATTCTGCTAAAATGGACTTTGCATTTACTGATCATACACTTGCATCCTTCCCAGTAGATTATAAGATCCCTGAGGTCTGAAAGTGTTTAGCTTTTAGCTTTATATCTCTAGTGCCCATCATAGCGGGGCACTTAATAAACCTTCATTGAAAAGAGCTGAATTTAATTGAAAAGAATATTATTCAGACCTCCTATTGGCTAATCCTGACAGTCAGAGTTTGAATTTTAGCTGTAGCATTTATATACACATGTGGTTCTTTTTCCTGAGGCTGAGCTACAGAAACCAACCCACAATGGAAGATCTATGCAGTGCTCAGATGACATTACTAAGGATAGGTTTTGAAAGAATTGGTCTAAGTTGTAGCAGCGTCCAAGCTGTAAATGATACACACATTCTCTCCATCCTCCAAGGCCAGCTGGAATGCCGCCTCCTTCAAAAAGTCTGAAGTTATTTCTCTCTCATCATATCTCAGAGCATTTCTACCCCTTCACATAGTTCTCTTCTAATTTGTTTGGTATTCATGTGTATTCATGTCTTGGGTGAGGATGGAGAGGGAGGGACAGTATTTTACATCTCTTCATACATGGAGAGAACCACAATTGATTTTCTAGCCCAGCTCCTCAATTTTGGGCAGTATAGCAATCACCTTACTATTTGGTCATCCCAAACAGGGAAGGTGAATTTGTTGAATGAATTAGTCAATGAACAAATGAATGAATGAATAAGGGTATCAGCTAGTGGAGAAGTGGCTAGAAATTGTGATTGTGAAATCGGATCAATTTAATATGAGGAAATTTTCTAATGGGAGATTTTATCAGATAGGAAAGAGTTACATATTTCTCAAATTAAAAAGGCTTCCCTGTCCCTCTTTGGTGTTTTCTGGGTACGTGGATTTTGACTCCTGTATCTACGTGCATAAACAAAATACATGGTGTGCCCCATAATCACAAAGATGATAGAAATGAACACCAACAGCCCAAATTGTTGAGGGGCTGGAGCCAGGATGACAAGGATGAAGTGGATAAGGTCCATTAGGTAGTTCATGGAGCACTGCACGCCGTTCACAGTGCCACGTTCTGAATCTGCGATGTTTTCCTGAAGGAGCTGAGTCACAGTGAGGTCAAAGGACCAGAGACCTGCAAGAGAAAGAAATCGAAGTAGATAAAATTATAGTCAATGTGGCCCATTTAAATACTGAAGTGCTGTCAAAGTGACCTACTTTAATACTACACTTCCAGAACCTGTGATTGCATGTTCCAGGGTCATTACTGCACTCCCTCCCCTCTAATGATATCAATCCTGACCTATTAAATCCTTCAAAAGTTGCTATGACCAAAAAATGGGTTGCATCACCCTGCAACCAATCTGGTGATGAACCTCTAGAAATGCAGCTGGAGAGGGCCCAAGACAACAGATATACTACTAGTTAACAAGATTTTTGGCTTCATGGGTGTCTAGAAGAAGTTGCACTCTTTGGGCATTTATAGCTTTCATGGTGAATGGGAAGACTGCTGCATATGTAGTTAGAGGATTGGGGTTCGAATCCTGCTTTACATTCAACTTAGTAAATGTGTTATGGTGGGCAAATAATTTCACAAGCCTCAGTTTCCCCTTCTGTAAAATGAGAAGGTTGGACCAGATGATCTGTAAGGTCCCTTCTGGCTTTTGAGGTATGATGCAATTAATCTGAGGTCACATCCACATCACAATGCAAATTGATGGCTTTAGGGGATATAACACTGAACTGGGATTCAGGAAGAACTGAGTGTGAATCCTGCCCCTGCCCCTGACTAGTCATATGACTCTGGGCAAGCCCCTTAATCTCCCTTAGGATCCAATTCCTCACCTGTAAAATAGGCATAAAAATAATACTTCCTTCCAGGGTTGTGTTGTGCCTCCAAGAATATAGTATATGTAAAGCACTTTGCCATCATTAAAGAATTGTGGAAATGTTAGATATTTTTATGAAGCATCTTTTGGGGAGGACTTGAGGTGGGTCAGAGTGACACCTAAAAAGAGGAAAATGCCTGTCTGGATGTAATGGTCAGGTTTGGGATAGAAAACAAAGATCTGGGTTTCAGCCAAAGACAAGATTTATTAGAACATCCGTCATATTGGGCAGACTCTTAAGGAGTCTGAACATTAGTGAGCTATTGCCTAGAGTATTAGAATCTGAGTCAAGATCTGGGTTTCACACTGGCTGATCTAGAAGCCCAAGGAGTTCCAGCTCCAGAAAACTGGTTGTTGGCCTTGCAGGAGGTAAAATCAACTGTCCCTTCCCTAACCTTCAAGAACAATGATTGTGCCTGCACACGGCCCTCACAACAATACAAAAAACCATTCGGGGGCAGCTAGGTGGAGCAGTGGATAGAGCACTGGCCCTGAAGTCAGGAGGACCTGAGTTCAAATCCAGCCTCAAACACATAACACTTACTAGCAGTGTGAGCCTGGGCAAGTCACTAAACCCCATTTGTCTGGCCAAAAAAAAAAAAAGAAAAGAAAAGAAAGAAAGAAAGAAAAGAAAAGAAACCATTCAACAGCTTTAACCAGGGCTTACCAATTCTGGCCAAGATCACCCCTGAGAAGAGCAAGATGATGGAGACATATGACTCAGGCTGGTTGCTCTCTTGTGCACCATCCATCAGAACAGTATTATTGGTCCAGTGGATGGCTGAGCGACCAGGAAGGATAGGCTGGTTAATGTTTCTTTCAAAAGCAGAAACATGTACTGGGTTCTCTTTCAGCATCTTGTGACTTAGGGAAGAGTTCCCGCTTAGTGGAAGAGAGAAAATACCCAAATCAAAAGGACTCCCGGGGGCAAAGACAGAAAACACACACAGCAGCAAACAACCTATGTGGAGACAGCTGGAGATGAGGCCCGTGTGAACTAAGCCATAGGACCTTCTTAACCTGGTAAAGAGGATTGTGCCCACAAGACCTGAGAAGGCTGAGATGGCCATAAGGAGGCTGAGAAGGGAGCCCCCGATCCCCTGTGTGTAGGCATAGCCTGTGGTGATACAGTCAAAGCCCAGCACAGTTGTGTATAAGAAGGCTAAACCCAATCCCGCCAAGAAGACAGTTTGCCCGCAATATGTCTTCCAGCCATCACAACATGTCCGGACTAGTCTTTGTATCTGTCTGAGGCCGAGAGGAAACCTGGAGGTCATGTCCTGCTGGGCTTCCAGAGGAGATGGCTGGTCCTCTGGTCCTTCCAAAGTCTTGGACATGTTGGCAAACTCATCAGTGGTTGGACAAGAATGAATTTCCCCTAAAAAAAAAAAAACATCCCGAAAGGTTTTCGATCACAGTTATCGTAAGAGCTTGCTGCTTGTTTTCAAGCCAGATGATGAGGATGTCTGCTTGACTGGTGATGTTGAGAACAGGTCATCTCCCCAGTAGCTGCCCCTTGCCTAAATTCCCCATCTCTATTGAGGACCCATCTATTATCCCAGCCAACCCTGCTCAAAATGTTGGCACTATTCTTGATTCATCGCTCTCCCTTACACAGACTTCCAATAATTTACCAAGTTACATCCATTTTACCTCGATGATATCCCCTGCCTGTGTCCCCTCCCTTCTATTCATGTAACCCTAATTTTCCCTTGTCTAGATTATTGTGATATTCTAATAATGGATCTCCCTTAAATCTCTCTTGTATCTAATTCCTCACCCACAGAACCAGAAAAAGAACTGGCCCAAGGCCCAGATCTGATCATGTTACTTCTTAGTTCAGAGGTTTTAGTGATTCCCCGTTGCCTTGAGTAGTGGTCTCCAAAGTGGTCTCTGGGGCCAAGATTGACCATTCTATGAACCCAGATCTAAATCTCAGACCCAAAGAAAAATCAGTGTGTGTATCAGGAAATGGGGCGGGTGAGAAGAGAACTGGGCATGTTCTAAAGATAAGTTACCTCACAGGGAGTATCAAATAAAATTTAGATAGATATAGATATAGATAGATAGATATGTGTGTGTGTTTACACATATACACACATATTTATGTATAATGCTTTGCTTGAAGTGCTATGTAGATATAGTCTATTATTGTGAATAATAAATTTCTTGAAGTCAGAATACTTGCTTCCTTTTACGGAACCTTTTATGGTTTTTCATTCAGGTAAGAAATTAACTTCTTCAAGTCTTGGAGATAATAGCCAATAGAACAAAATCATGAGAGTAATCAAAAGAAATTATATTTTTTAAAAGTTTTAAAAGGGAGCCTGCTGATTGAGTTCCAGTAGTGGTCAATCCTAGAAGGAGTCAAGGAGTTGGATAGTACTCTGGAGGGATGAGTAGAATCCTATAAGTGCATTCATTCATTCATTCAGAAAACATTTATTAAGCACCTACTATGTGCCTTGTGCAAGAAGCTGGGGACACAAAAGACAAAACTGCCCAACAAAACTGCTCTGACCTGAAGAAGCTTCCATTGTATTGAAAGGAGGGACTGGTGTCACGTAGTCCAACACCTCTCCAAATCCCATAGCATCCCTCACAAGTGGTCTCAACTAAAGTTCCTTCAGGGACAAGGAACTCTCTACCCCTGGAGACAATCCATACTGCTTTTGAACATAGAAAGTAGGACTACAGGAACGATCCAGGATCACTATTGCCAGCAACACTTTGAGAAAGAAAGAAGGAAGGAAGGAAGGAAGGGAAGGAGGGAGGGAAGAACAAAGAAGGAAAGGAGGATGGGAGAGAAGAGGAGGATGGGAGAGAAGAGAAGGAAGAGGGGAGGGAAGGAAGGAAGGGAGGAACAAAGGGAAGGAAGCAGAGAAGGAAGGGGCACTTTTTTTTTTGGTGGTTAAAGAAAGTGAGAATAATGATGTTGACGTTTTCTGTAAACACGAACTATTCCTGTTATAGAGATTGGTGGACTTGCATTTGAACACAATATATTGCACTGTGCTATAATGAGGCTGGGCCTGGAGTCAGGAAGACTCCTCTTCCTGAATTCAAATCTGGTCTCAGACACTTACTAGCTGGGTGACCCTGGGCAAGCCACTAAAGCCTGTCTGCCTCAGTCTCCTCATCTGTAAAATGAGCTGGAGAAGGAAATGGCAAACCACTCCAGTATCTTTGCCAAGAAAACCCCAAATGGGGTCACGAAGAGTCAGACATGATTGAAAATGACTGAACAACAACAATACGTTTCCATCTCTGGAAAAAATTTTGTATGGCCTTTGTATCAATCATCCCCCATACCTGGAACATGCTCCCCTTTATCTCTGCCTCAGAGAGTTTCTCTCTTCCTTTAAGATGCAGCCCAAGCACCATTTTCAACATAAAGCTTTTCCCAATTCCCCATTCCCCTCCCCCCAAATCATCTTGTATTAAAATACTTCAAATGTATTCTCTTCATATTTATGCTGTATATATTTTTATGTATACTCGTCGTCTCCTCCATTAGAATGTAAAGTCATGAGTAGGGATTATTAAATTCTTGAAAGAACTTAATTAATACCTGTCAACTGATTGATTGATAGATCCCTATGAAGTGGGGAAGGATCAGTTTTGTTTCCTCTCTGCTACCCCATTGAGTACTTCCCTAAGCAAGCAGGTGGGAACTTCTGTAGAAAAAATTACTTCAAGAGCTACATTTTCTAAAATACTCTTTGACCCAGAGATCTCACTGCTAGGTATATGCCCCAGGAAGTCATTGGGGAAAAAAGATCTCATAGACACCCAAATATTGGCACTTTTTTATGGTGGTGAAGAGCTGGAAACAAACATGTCCATACATACATTGGGGAATGGCGGAACAAGTCGTGGGTCATTACTATAATGAAATATTACTGTGAGAAGTAGTGGACATGATGAAAACAAAGAAGTTGGAAAGCTTACATGAACCGATGCAAAATGAAGTAAACAGACCCAGGAAAATAACACGTACAATGGCTTCAACATTGAAAATAACAACAACCACAAAACAATCTAAAATGAAAGTACTATGAAAAGTTGCAAAGAATAAGCTTGGTCCCAAAGAAAAGATAAGGGGAGTCTCCTCCACAACTCCTTTGCTTAGGTGAGTGAGGGGTCCACAGGTGTGTAATATTACATACTGTGACAGAGTTGGTTTGTTTTAGTTTTTTTTTTGCTGAATTTTCGGTCTTCGTTTTTTGTCTTTTTTTAATCCTTTTTTTTAAAATAAAGAATGATTTATTGGGAGAGTGTGAGAGAGGGATACAGGGGAAATGTAGGTGATGTAAAAACAAAAGATATCAATAAAAATCGATTTATAAAATGTTACATTTTCAGATAGGAAGTTGAGAGTGAATATCTCTCAAGGGACAGAAAGTAGAAGCCAACGGAATGACAAAAGCCAAGGAAGGAGACCAAGTCAGGAACCATAGTGAAGTGAAAATCACCTTGAGAGCTGATGAGCTCCAGTTGCCTTTTTAGGAAGTTGTCCCCTGTGCACCTCCGGGGTTTTGCAGCCAACTGAGGAACTAGCTGATAAACTTTAGACAGGAAGAGGAACTCAACCAACAGAGACACCAAGTTCCATCCCAGAATGAAGCCACAACCAATGACGTTAGATGCCCATGTCATCACCTGTCCCACAGAGAGGGGGGCAAAGATGTTGATGATTTGGTCCATCCTTCGAATCGTTGCATTCATGCCTAGAAAGAAAAGTAAACCAAAATGTTTCACTGTGCAGTGAGCCAAGATCCCCACACCCAATGGCCAAGAATCATTTCAGATATGGAGGGGCCCTTCTAGCGCTCAAGGTCTGTGGCCAAACTATTGATTCATCAGACACATGTAGAGCATGGGGATCCTCCATTTTTACGGAGGAGAAAACTGAGGCTCAGAAAGGAGAATTGATCATGTAACTGGTTAGTGGCAGAGACAGCAGTGAATTCCAGGTATCGTGACCCCTGTCAAGTGTTTTCATCACAACGCTCAACATGATGTGAAAATACAAATACAAGCAAGTCGAGTACCCCCAACCACAGTGTGCTCATCACCTTAGTGTGGTTTAAAAGCCAGGACCAGCAAGAAAGAGCCAGCCTCGTGCAGTGGGAAAAGCCCTGCATTTGAAGTCACTCACCTTCCAATCACAGATCGAGATCAGGATGGAACAGGGGAGGTGAAGGTCGTCCAGTCCTCTCCAATTCATCCTCCACTTAGCTGCCAAAGGGTTTCTAAATCAAGGGTTCAGTCATGTCATCCCTCCGCCTCCCTGTTACCTCCAGGATCAACTATAAAGTCATCTGGTATTTAAAGTTCTTTACAACCTGGAACTTTCCTTCCTTCCCAGTTTTACATCCTCCACAAATTCCAGCACTCCACACTCATCTATTTCCAGTTTCTCAAACACAACATTCTATCTCCCATCTCTACACCTTTGCACTAGCTGTGCAGCATGCCTGCCATGCCCTGTCTTCTCATTGCCACCTCCTAGCTTTCTGGCTTCTTTCCATACACGGCTCAAATCCCACTTTCTGTAGGAGGTCTTTCCTGGTGCTAGTATCTTCTCTCTGAAATTATCATTCATCTATTTCCTATGTGTCTTGTATGTACGGTTCTTTGCATGTTTTCTCTCTAATTAGAATGTGAGTTCCTTGAGAAGGGACCTGGTTTTGTATTTTTGTATTTTTGCCTTTTTTGTGTTCTATTTGAATGGGATATTTCAATGAGTTATTCTTGATAACTAGGGGCTAGAGAAGTGGCATGGGGTAGGTGAGAAAGAGCAGGCCTCAGAGTTAGGAAGACCTAGGTTCAAGTACTGTTTGTAACAAACGCTAACTACGTGACCCTAGATGAGTCACTTAGGGCCTCTCAGGACCCGAGGTCAATTTTTTTAGACTGTAAGATGCTGGCCTGAATTAACTAAGGGAATTCTCTCACCAGGAATTCCCTAAACCTAGGAAATCACATGTTCTGCCCCCTCTCTTCCTCACTACATTTCAGCACCCTGAGTAGAGGGCCAGTCACCCTGCCTTCATCATGGCTCCCATAGCCACAGATTTTCCTCGTGGGCTGTACTGAATTTGCTCATCATCCTGTTTGGGAAAGAATTCATTAAGAGCCTGGGCAGTCCTTAATTTCTATTGCCCAACGTGATAAAGTATTTTCATGGTGACCCATTTGTGGGTGAAGCATTGCCTTGGACTTACCAGCCAGCTGGCTTCTGTTGTCCCCAGTCATGACCACGATCCAGTCTCTCTGAATGGTGATGGCCAGGGCTGTGCTGGCCAGGCTGGCCAGATCTGCTAAGATAATCACTGCCACATAGCAGGCCACCTAAGGGGAGGGGTTGGGAAGCAGAGTTTACAATCCAAGAATAGGCTTCAATAGGCAAATGCTTTCTCTGGTTTTTTTAGCTGACACTCCTACCCAAGTCAGCATGAATGGCACTAGGAACCTCCTAGTGACAGGTTCAACTTAGGGGGAGGCAGAAAGTGCCGTTCTGTTGACTTGATGAGCTTTCTTCCTGCCCACTCCATCAGCCCCAGATCTGATGCTAATTTTGGTCCTGCAGACGGGAGCCCACAATTCTGTTGTCTTTGCTTGTCTGTGATTTAGGGTCTGATTCACAGCTTCAAGGTAAAAAGTAACACTAAAGAAAGACTAGCTAGGTTTAAAACCCGCATCCCCAGAATGCTGCAGAACAGGCAAGTGCTGCTGAGCCTGGCAGAAAGACACAGCTGGGACCTTGGAAGTTTCATTTCATTGTGTAAGAAGAAGACGAGTACTCACGTACCGTGAGCCAGCCCTGCCAGACGCCTTCGATCTCGTTTTTGTAGGAGAACACCAACATTAGGACGATACAGCAGGTAGTGACCGAGGAGTTCTGAAGGAACAGGGATGCATGGGCCACTGGTGGTAAAGGAGATAACCTGCTCAGCACAGTCTTCTGAGTATTTACAGAAGAGAACCAATTCCCTGCCATGTAACATGGGCATATACATTTAACCAGACCCCTCTGCCTGCCCCAAATGACATTTTGATCCATATCTGTTACATTGTAATACAACAAGGTTATATTTTCATGAAGTAGATTCAACAGAAATGCAGTTCAACAATTCAGATCAGCATCTTCCACCATATCCCACAATCCATTCTAAATGAATCAATAACCTGAATACCAGATATTAGAGGATAACAGAGGGTCATATCTTTCAATACTATGGCTAGACCAAAATTCCTAGCCAGATTAAGGCTAGAGGAGATTATGAAAGACAATTTAGATTATATAAATGGGATGATTTGCATGAACTTAGCCTGACTAAGGAAGGTCTCATAACCCGTAAGATGGCTCTGAGGGGATGAACTCTTTGACCAAGAAATCAGGGAAACAAAAGAAAATGGCAAAGTGATTCTCAAGCCTTCTGCTTTCTCAGTGATGACAATAGAGAAGCAAAGAAATAGGGCAGAAGAGGGTATACACATAACTGACCGATTAGAGATGCAAATCAGCTAACCCTTCAGAATGGATCATCTCCATCCTGGGGGACCCTGAAGCCACAGGACTGACTAACCACCAGGAGGGAAGAAGGAAAGGCTGAAGGTGTCCCATGTCTCAGACCACTCTCAACCCCCCTCAACTTACTTTGCATTTTCTTTGTATTTACTTTGCGTATATGTGTATATCTGTGTATATTTGTTACTTCTAATGGAACATAAGCTCCTTCCGGACAGGCACTACTTAACTTTTATCTTTGTATTCTCAGAGCCTAGTGGAGTAGGCATCTTTAGGTGCTTTGTAAAGTCTTGCTTTTTGAAACTGATAGATGGATTGACTAGATCATTTAAGAAGAGGGTGAGGGGGGCAGCTAGGTGGCACAGTGGATAGAGCACCAGCCCTGGAGTCAGAAGGACCTGAGTTCAAATCCGGTCTCAGACCAGACATTTGACACTTACTAGCCATGTGACCCTGGGCAAGTCACTTAACCCCAATTGCCTTGCCAAAAAAAAAAAAAAAAAGAAGAGGGTGAGAATGATAATCAGTTGAGAGAAGCTCTAGGGAGATCTGTGTTTAATTAGATAAGTGCAGAAACAAATCTGAGTTTATCTGACGAATTACAATAACATAAGTGCCTATCTCAAAATATGAGTGGCTCTGGAATATCAATGTGAGTACTCCATCCAAAGGTACAGATAGCAGCCTAAGCAAGCCTTTTTGGCTCTTAGGACTCTTGTCTGCGTCTTCCCTTAAGTCCTTGATGGGAGACCTACCCAGCACATAGGAGGCTTTCTGTGGATGCCAATAGAATACTCAGCCAGTCCATTTTTCTGTCATTCATCATTTGCTAGATGACCAGTGCATCTTCTTTTCCAGTCTTTGGTCAGATATCTCTTTGATATGTCTTACAATTCTTGTTGGTAATGAATTAGTCTAATCACACTACGCATACATGTCTCCATTGTCTTTTGGGTGACTGTCAGCAGACTTTGAGCTCTGTTAGGTTGTGAGGTCCTTGCCTTTTGTCTCTTTTCATATCCCCAGAGAGTAGGACAATGTCTGACACATAGTAGGCACCTAATAAATGTTTATTGGATTAAATTGGATTGGAACGAAAAGTCATGGTACCCTGGACCTTCATGCCTAGGATCTAAGGTAGCTAGGGACACAGTGGATAGAATGTGGAATTAGGAGTCAGGAAGACCTCACTTCAAATCCTGCCTCGTACACTTATTTAGCTGTGTGACCTTGAACCATTCACATAACCTCTCTCAGCCTCAGTTTCCTCATCTGTAAAATAAGGGTAACGTTGTGAAGATCTAATGAGACAGCATAGGAAAAGAGCTTTGCACCCCTTAAAGCACTATAGGAGTGCTAGCTATTATTATTATCAATCAATCAGTAATGTCTTAACCTCAGTTAAGTCACGGGGAAAATGCAGATAATAACAGCACTTCCTAGGGTTGTTGTGAGGATCAAAGGAGATCGTTCTTGTAAAGTGTTTGGCACATTCTAAACTGCTATAGAAGGGCTAGCTATCATTGGTTAAACATCTGCTATGGACAAGCACCACGTTAGCCATTAGACAATGAATTACCTTTGTTTCTTGGTTTTCTGTCAATCCAGTCTCCAATTAAAACCCCGAACAGCAGCACCGAACCAGCCACCACTAAGCCAAAAACTGCTGTCAGGAGAAGGTTGCGTCCGTATAACTCTATCAGGAACACAGACAGAGCAAAGTGCCACATTCGGTCTCCCTACACGGCGGCAAAGGCCAAAAAAAAAAAAAGAGTTCAGGGTTGGGGATTGTTCTTCCTACTGTGACGAATGAAATTAAACTGTGAATAAGATGCATAGACACTGGGGACAGACCATCTTGCTGGGGTTTTCCAGAATTATGAAGGCAGGACAACATTTTCCTACAATACAGCCAGCTCTCATTTATCCAGTGCAGTGAGGAAGAAAGAAGACTGGATTTGGAGTTAGAGGACCTGGGTTCAAATCACTTCCCCTCCCTGGGCCTCAGTTTCTCCATCTGTAAAATGAAAGGGTTGGAGCAGGTGGCCTCTGTTTCCTTCCCATTTTAGATCTATGGTTCTAGGTGTGGGCAAGTCAATTCCCTTCCCCCGGCCTCGGTTTCCTCATCTATAAAGTGAAGGGGTTGGATGTGACCTCAAAGACCCCAGCCGCTCTAAATCTAAGATCCTAAAACATTCAGAAGTGACCTGATGTCAAGATTGTTTATGAAATTCTGGTTATTCTCAACCTCCTAGCTCTCTTGATCATTCGAAACACAAGAATAATTATTTGACTTCATCTTACCCATATAGAAAGTGCACAGCTGACATAAACCAAAACTCTTGGCCCCAGGAGGGAGTTCAAAGTTGCCCCTAAAACACACACAACCAAACCATGAAAGACATTTCCACGTAAATCTTGTCAAAGACACACTTGGTTTATTTCCTCCATGCAAAGGAAAACCAGGATGGCTCTTGCCCAGTGGGAGTAGAGAAGGATTTGAGAGCCCAGCTGGTGGTGTTTCTATGCGACTGCCAAGGGCATCCTGGAGATCTGAAGCAGGCTCCTCTGGAGCCCAGGAAGGGCCCTCAGGACCCTCCCAGAGAGGAGCACATATCCTAGGGGTGGGGGTGGGGGACCACCAGGCTCTGTAGTTGTAAGAAGCCACGTTCAAAGCCTCATCCTTTGTGCTTCTCTTCCGTGGTCACAAATGGGTTCGTTTCAACACAGAGCAAGCCCCAGTTTTCCAGTAGTGGATATAGGTCAGGATTCAGTACCTGAGTTCAAATCCTGCTTCAAATACTTCCTAGCTGCCTCATTCCCAGGCAAGTCACTTTATCTCTTAATCAAACAAGCAACAATCATCAAGCATTTGCTTACTAAGGGCCAGGTACCCAGTAAGCACTGAGGAGGCAGTTTCTTCATCTGTAAATTGAGGACAAAAATAATACTTCTAATATTTACCTCGCAGGAGAGAATTTGTGTAAAGCTCTTTGCAAACTTCGAATACTCATATACACAATTATTATCATGGGAGAATAAATGGCAAGGAACCTGTTTCTAGCTCAGGAACCTGTTTCTAGCTCAGGAATCTGCCTCTTGAACATTGAGTAGAACTGAATGCCCAAAGGGCAAATTTCAGACCTGGGAAGTATGGCTCACATTTCTAGCATGAGGCTTTTGTCACAACAAGCCTGTGACATGAGGAATGTGGGCATAATTCTTCTCATTTTACAGATGAGGAAACTGAGGCTCATCGGGGTGAAGTGACCTAGCCAGGGTCAAAGAGCTAGTAAGAGTCAGAGTCAGAATCTGAACCCACATCTTGCTTCAAGGACAGTGTACTTTCCACCATATCATGCTATAGTTTAAGAACATGACCTTGTAATAATTGTACAAAAACTAAACATGGTACCATAATTTAATAGCACAGAACCTTCCAAGTTGCAGAAAAGGCTAAATTCCATTGATAATTTTTTGAAAATTTCCCTTACACCAGGATAAATGCATTTGGAAACTGTGTGGACACTACTGTCTGACAAGAAAACTAAAGTCAATTTCTAGTGCCTGGGATCTCTCTCTCTGCCTCTCTCTGTCTCGTGTCTCTGTCTCTTGTCCCTCTCTCTGTCTCTGTCCCTGTCTCTCTCTCTCCCTCTGTCTCTCTTTCTCTGGGGGTCTCTGTCTCTATCTCTCCGTAGCCCTCCCCACTCTCAGCCCAGTGTTGAGGGCTGTCGGGGAAAGTCAAGGACACAGCCCAGACCCAGATAACAGCCTGGTTTTTAATTTAAAGGCATTTTCAGTTATAGAGTGAAAATAAACAGTTTGCCCTCAAGTGAAATAGGAAACAGAATCCACTTTGGCAGCTGGAGCCTTCAATTTAAATGGAAGTGATTGAATTGAGGGCTTGAAGCATATTTTCGTTAATAATTAAGCAAAGGGGCTTTTTTCTCCCTCCATTTCCTTGTGGGCACTAAGATCATGCTTCTCCCTCCACTCTTCTGAAACCCAACAGATCTCCAAAGAAAACTCCCGGCTCTGAACTGCAGGGAGAGACCTGATTAAAGCGTTAGCCTCGAAGGCCATGGTCAGTCACCGAAGTGGCTGGCCCATTTATCTCCCTGGGTGGGAGCCCTGCAGGAATTCACATTTGTAAAATTCTCTGGGATTGTCAACTGGAAAGTGCTTCTGTTGCATTCGGTACCATTTGAAGATCCATCATGAAGAGAAGCCTTCCCCCGTGGTAGGGGACTTCACTTCACCCTAAACCCCACGCTTTGCAATTTAATCTTACAAATGAAAGAAAGCAGGAGTCACTAGTGAAAACAGAACAAGAAATGACATTTTACAGTCGTTGCTCTAACTAGACACTAACAAGGTATTTTTAATATTCAATTCAATTAGGCAACAAGAAACCACTCCGAGAGAGCCTTTGCAAAACAGGCCAAATTGCTTAGTGACATTTAAATTAGAGAAATTCTGTTTTTGCGGCACATAATTACACAAAGAACAAATGCATGAAAAAAAAACCCTATTCATTTTACTTAATCAAATCCCCCCATGCCCAGTGGCACTGTGTAATTTCAGACTGATGATGTTAACATTGCAATATTTCCAAGCCAGAGAGAGATTGCTTCTTTTCCCAACCGGGCTAGCTTTTGAGAGTGAAGCTTTATTGGCGACCTACCTAAACGTCTCTTTTCTCTCCTAATTTGTCTGTTGCCTACGATTTCACTCCATTTCTCTTTATTTCCACAGTCTTTGATATCGTTGCCTCCTCTCATCATTATTGCATACTGTGAACAAGAGATTTTAGAGAATGACAGATTTATTCAAGGGACCGCGCATTGTCGTAAACTGTGAGAAATTAACAAGCTCTCCCCTTAATTTCAATTGGATTTCCCCTAAAAACCGCTCCCACTTGATTCTTTCAACTGGAATAAGTTAATTGTACAATCTATTATAAGGTCTACTGCATAGGAATAAAGTCGAAGTACTTGTCACCAAACGAGGCATGTTAATAACACCCCAAACCAATTACTCAGTGGAAATAAATCTCCGTCAGCAGCAATCAAAAGCTCTCCCAGTTTTAATTTATCAAAGAGACAGAGGCAGAGAGACAGAGACAGAGAGGAAAAAGAGAGAGACAGAGAGAGGAGAGACAGAGACAGAGAGGAAAAAGAGAGAGACAGAGAGAGGAGACAGAGAGAGAAAGAGAGGAAGGAAAGACACACACACACACACACACACTCACACACATGGAGTTGAACAGTAAACAGCCCTTCATTAAACACATTATGTTTCCACTTTAATTATTCAACAGGGTAAATTGATTACATTTGCTATAATTAATGAAAGTTTTAAAGTGAAAAGAAAACCATGAGCACATTTACAAGAACACAGCAATGAGCCTCAAAGGTTTGCTCCCACCTGCCAAGAATTTGATTTGAAATAAGAAGCATCTGAAACTTGGTGAATTGTTGTACTCACCCAGTATAGGCAGCAGGGTGGAGTTTTTCATGTGTCTCAGCTTTGAGCCCAGCCTTGGTTTCCCATTCAGCCCCCAGAGACCATGTGCAAAGATGGAGCTGGTCAGTGAAAGCCTTCTAAAACTTACACGTGCCCTTGTCCACACACGTACCCCATTGTGCCGAAAGTGCTGGGTGTGCAAATGCTTCCTCTGGGTCATCAGATGAGAAGCCAGCAGTTTCTGCTCCCCGTGACAGGCTAGTAGAACATAATAAAAACTGGGCTCATCTGCACTGTCTCAATCTAAGCGCTGGGCCAAGGGAAAGTGGTAGACAGTCCTGAGTTGGGTCTCTCTCCTGCTGAAATCTGCATGGAAGGAAAACCAGGGAAAGGCCAGCACAGACACACTCAGCCACCTCTCTTTGGATGTGTTCCCAAAACTTGGCATGTCAAATCTAGAGTAGAGATTGCAGGAATATTATTGATAACGGATTGAATAAGGCATCAGACACAGAGTGCTACCCAAATGTTATCTCTGAAGGAGTTCATTTCTCTAAGGTTTGCCGTTATAAGTCTTACTATCTATAACAGCAACTAAGTGACTTGCCCAGGGTCACACAGCTAGTAAAATGAGCCTGTACTCAAACCCAGTTCTTCCTGATTCCACATCCCTCTGGCCGCTACGAAGGACCGGGGAGAGAGAAAACCCACCTTTGAGCAGAGTGGAAATGTGTTCCCAAGGCAGCAACATTTCACAAGCTCTTCCTACACTCTCCAAAAGCCATCGTGCTGACCCGGCTAAGCACTAGGTGGGCTCCACTATGCAGCATCTAAAGACACTCACTTGGGACACCTGAAAATAGACGGTAGAACTTCCCCGCGGGGGCCTGGAGGCAGAGGCAGCTCCTCCAGGAAGTGCACACCTCTATCAGTTCAGAGAAAGGAAAAGAGAGAGAGATGATGATGTCATTGTTGTCCTCTGTCCTGCCTAGATCATGCCTGGGGTCTGACATTTTGGGGATAGGAATTAGATTTGAAATTTCACTGATCTAGGAACTTTCCTGATGAAGACATTTCCTCTACCAGAGTAAGTCTGCACTTTCTCTTCAGCTTAGCGCCTTAGGAAGGTGCCTTGAAGTCTCTCCCAAGCCCCTTCATGCTGGTGCCTTCTCACTGAGATTCTTTCCACTTCCTCTCCTTCACATCTTCTTTGTACATAGTTTGCACATCCTGTCCCCGTTAGACCGTGAGTGCCTGGAAGGTAGGTGATGACTAATTTGACTTTTCTTTGGATCTCCTGTGCTTAGAATATTTCCTGACAAACAGTAGGTACTTAAAAAAAGGTTTGTTGACTTGGCCTAGAGAACTGAGATATTAAGTCACATACACACACACACACACACACACACACGCTCATATGTGCGATCTGAAGCCAGGTCCTCCTGACTTCTTACTGTGGGTGAGATTTTGCTGCTGCTGCTTGTTCTTCATTCTGGAAAAGGACCATGATGTCAGGAAGGTGATGCTAGGACATGCAAATGAATTGGATTGAAGTGAGGCAAGTATATGATACCCTATGTGGACAGAGGGAAAAGAAGAAAGAAAGAAAGAAAGGAAGAAAGAAAGAAAGAAAGAAAGAAAGAAAGAAAGAAAGAAAGAAAG